TTCAGGGCCAACAGGATAATGGTCAAACTCTTAACATGGAGGGTCTTAGTGTGGCATGTGGGATCTCAGTTCCCCGACCAGGGATTGAACCTGTGCCCCCTGTGTTGGAAGCTCAGTCTTTTTTTTTTTTTTTTTTTTTTTTACATCTTTATTGGAGTATAATTGCTTTACAATGGTGTGCTAGTTTCTGCTTTATAACAAAGTGAATCGGTTATACATATACATATGTTCCCATATCTCTTCCCTCTTGCATCTCCCACCCTCCCTATCCCACCCCTCTAGGTGGTCACATTCTGTCTGACTTTTAATTAATATCTAGTCCTTTTGATTTGTCTTCTTAAAAAAAATCTTTCATATTGTGTTCTTTTAATTCCCACTGCTACCACTTTATTTAGGTTTTTAGTCATCTTGAGTATATACTATTTTGGTAATCTCTGGTCTCCTGAGTTTCCTCTCTGTTTCCTGTTAAATGTGTTATTCAGAGGTCAAGGAGCTTTATCTTTCTAAGATGGAAAACTGAGCCTGTGGTTCCACAGTTTAAATGAGGTTCAGGGCCAACAGGATAATGGTCAAACTCTTAACATGGAGGGTCTTAGTGTGGCATGTGGGATCTCAGTTCCCCGACCAGGGATTGAACCTGTGCCCCCTGTGTTGGAAGCTCAGTCTTTTTTTTTTTTTTTAACAAAAATTCAAGGGTCTACCTATTCTGGCCTCCAATATATTTGACAGAGTGTATTTCTGTTTGGGGAGGTGGGTCGGAAGCTGTGTTGTGGGTGATGATGAGTTTGCAGGAGGGAGATCACACTTTGCTGCTCCCCAGATACACATCCTGGTTACTACTATGTCTGGTACCCCAGCTGATGATAGGTGATGAGATGGATCTGGGATTAAAAGAAAGGACGATCCTAGAGTTCAAGGCTGAGTTGAAAATTGGGCTTCTTCCTTGACCTAGGGCAGGATTAGAAAGTGGCAGTAAAGCCATATGATCTGTGTTGAGTGGTCCTTACATATCTGGAAAAGCCAGAGCTACCCTCCAATGTCAGGTAGTACACAGTATGCTAACATAGAAGGAATCTTGGCTCAGAAAGGAGCTGGGTGTTTCCCCAGGCTAGTTCCTCTGAGGCATTTTTGTAAGAAAAGTATTGCTGGCACCCACTGAGCCTGTAACTTACCACGGCAGCCCTGTGACTCTAGGCAATAGAGCTTCCTAGGATATAGCTTACATGGATTCTTAACCACTGCACCACCAGGGAAGCTGGCATATATCTTTTTGAATTAGGGTTTTTGTGTTCTTCAGATAAATACCTGGGAGTGGAAGAGCTAGGTCTGCCAGACTGTTTTGAAAAGCTACTGTACCATTTTACATTCTCATCAGCACTGGATGAGGGTTTTAATCTCTCTATATCCTTACTACCAATTGTTATCTGACATTTTTTTGTGGTAAAAAATATATGTAACATAATTTTATTATTTCATCCATTTTTAAGTTTATAGTTTAGTGGCATTAAGTAAATTAACATTTTTGTGCAATTATTACCACTATCCATCTCCAGAACTTTTTCATATTCCTAAACTGAAACTCTGTTAACAATTTAAGAATAACCTTCAGTCCCTGATAAATGTTGTATTACGTGTATCATTCATTTGTAAGGCTCAATAATGTTCCATTGATGTATAATGTTCAATAATGTTCCATTTTGTTCATCCTTTCATCCTTCAGTGGACATTTGGGTTGCTTTCACCTTTTGGCTATTGTGAATAATGCTGCTGTAAACATTGGTGTTCAAGTATCTTTTCTATCTGACTTTTTTTTTTTTACATTTAATTTAATTTAATTTAATTATTTTTTTTAACATCTTTATTGGAATATAATTGCTCTACAATGGTGTGCTGGTTTCTGCTTTATCACAAAGTGAATCAGCTACACATATACATATGTTCCCATATCTCTTCCCTCTTGCATCTCCCACCCTCCCTATCCCACCCCTCTAGGTGGTCACATTCTGTCTGACTTTTAATTAATATCTAGTCCTTTTGATTTGTCTTCTTAAAAAAAATCTTTCATATTGTGTTCTTTTAATTCCCACTGCTACCACTTTTCTGTCTGACTTTTAATTAATATCTAGTCCTTTTGATTTGTCTTCTTAAAAAAAATCTTTCATATTGTGTTCTTTTAATTCCCACTGCTACCACTTTATTTAGGTTTTTAGTCATCTTGAGTATATACTATTTTGGTAATCTCTGGTCTCCTGAGTTTCCTCTCTGTTTCCTGTTAAATGTGTTATTCAGAGGTCAAGGAGCTTTATCTTTCTAAGATGGAAAACTGAGCCTGTGGTTCCACAGTTTAAATGAGGTTCAGGGCCAACAGGATAATGGTCAAACTCTTAACATGGAGGGTCTTAGTGTGGCATGTGGGATCTCAGTTCCCCGACCAGGGATTGAACCTGTGCCCCCTGTGTTGGAAGCTCAGTCTTTTTTTTTTTTTTTTTTTTTTTTTTTTTTTTTTT